GGGACTCCACAGCAGAACTAATGGTCCCACTGGCCCCCATGGTCTGGGACAGTGCGGGAACTCTACCGCAGAACTGATGGTCCCAGTGGCCCCTCTGGTCTGGGACAGTGCGGGGACTCCCAGGTGGAAATGATGGAGGACGGCACTCATCCTGGAGGGGACTGCCGTTCTACCTCTCCAAAAAGCATGAAGATGAAGATGGAATCTGCAAATTCACAACACAACGAGACCACCATATGCTTAAGGAAGGAAGGGGAGGTTTTCCACCCTGGCAGCAGCAACAGCAGCCAGCCACTCTGCCACGGCCCCTTGCCACCAAGGGGGAAGAGACAGGTTTTCCAGTAGAAGGCCATGGAGTTACAATCTGCCCCTCACCCCTTCACCAGGCCCCTGCTTCTGAACAATCACAGTCGCTGTTACACATGCCTTTCAGCATGCAGAACACCAGGGAAGCCAGGCCCAGGGCCAGCCCGGACCCCTAGCTCTCAGCGCCACACAAAACACGCTTTGGTCTCTCGGCAGATCCTTGAGGCTGGCTGTGCACACGGTCAGAAGTCCAGGGTCTCAGAGGAATGAAACCGACAAAATGTGAATGCCAATCCCAGAGTGGGAAGACGAGTATGGCCAGCCTCCTTTGTTGGCTCACAGCCATCAGGGTGAATGCCATGTGGGTGGGCAACAGGGTGCCCCTGAACTTCACCGCCAAGCCCCAAAAGCCACATAATTAAATGCAGTGTCTGGGCCGGGTGCGGTGACTCATGCCTATAGTCCCAGCACTTTGGGAAGCCAAGGCAGGAGGATCACCTGAGGTCAGGAGTTTGAGACCAGCCTGGCCAACATGGAGAAACCCCGTCTCTACTAAAAATACAAAAATTAGCCAGGCATGGTGACGCATGCCTGTAATTCCAGCTACTCGGGAGGCTGAGGCAGGAGAATTGCTCGAACCCAGGAGGCAGAGGTTCCAGGGAGCTGAGATCATACCTACCACTGCACTCCAGCCTGGGTGACAGAGTGAGACACCATCTCAAAATAAATAAATAAATAAATGTGGCTGGGTGCAGTGGCTCACACTTGTAATCCCAGCACTTTGGGAGGCCAAGGCAGGCGGATCACAAGGTCAGGAGTTTGAGACCAGCCTGGCCAACACGGTGAAACCCCGTCTCTACTAAAAATACAAAAATTAGCTGGGGGTGGCGGTGCATGCCGGTAATCCCAGCTACTCAGGAGGCTGAGGCAGGAGAATCGCTTGAACCCCGGAGGTGGAGGTTGCAGTGAGCCGAGATCGCGCCATTGCACTCCAGCTGACAGAGTGAGACTCCATCTCAAAAAAAAAAAAAGGTCTAAGCTTTTCTAAGTGGTGAGTCATGGGTAATTTTTAACCTCAATTTTTGTGGTTTGCTATGTTTACCAACATTTTTCCAGTGATTTTTTTCCCCCAAGAATTACTTTTTAAATCAGGAAAATTCAATCATTTTAATCCTTTTTTTTTTTTTTTTTTTTTTTTGAGACAGAGTCTTGCTCTGTCTCTAGGCTAGAGTGCAATGATGCGATCTGGCTCACTGCACCCTCCACCTCCTGGGTTCAAGCGATTCTTCCACCTCAGCCTCCCGAGTAGCTGGGACTACAGGCGCGTGCCACCATGCCCAGCTAATTTTTGTATTTTTAGTAGAGATGGGGTTTCACTATGTTGACCAGGATGGTCTTGGTCTCTTGACCTTGTGGTCCACCCGCCTTGGCCTGCCAAAGTACTAGGATTATAGGCGTGAGCCACCGTGCCTGGCCTAAGGAGGAAGATATTTGAAAGCTGCTCTGGCTGGGCGCGGTGGCTCACGGGCCTGTAATTCCAGCACTTTAGGAGGTCCCTTTCAAAGAGGCCTCAAGAACTCTTTTTGACTGACTCAGTGGATTTTGCTTTTGGCCTCTAACAGAACTCCAACACCGCCTCTGATTCTGAAAGGAATGTCTGCTTCATTTCCTCACTTCCCGGCTTGGAGGACTGAAGTGTGAAATGCAGGCAGCCTCGCACAAAAGACCGTGGGAGGGACATGGGCCGAGGAGTTCCCGGCAGCCTTTGAATCAGGAGGCAGGAGCGAGGGCAAGAGCTCACATTCTGCTGGCTGCTGGAGAGAAAAGGCGAACGGGGACCTGTGCCCTTCACAGGGGCTGCGCTGGGCAGAGTGCAGTGGCTCATGCCTGTTATCCCAGCACCTTGGGAGGCCGAGGCGGCTAGATCGCCTGAGCCAAGGAGTTTCAGACCAGCCTGGGCAACATGGCGAAACCCCGTCACTCCACAAAAAAATACAAAAATTAGCTGGGTGTGCTGGCCACTCCTGTAGCCCCAGCTACTTGAGAGGCTGAGGTAGGACCCTACTTGAGCCCCAGGGTCAAGGCTACAGTGAGCTGTGATGCGGTCACTGCACTCCAGAATGAGTGATGGGGCGAGACCCTGTCTCAACAGGGCTGTGCTGTCCGGCACTGCAGCAGCTGGGAAATAGCAGATGACTTTACGTCCAGTGTTCACTCTGCCTAGAGATCACCCTGGCAACTTTCCCACCCAGGGTGCATTCTGTCCCTTTTTTCTTTTTTTTTTTTTTTTTTTGGAGCGGGATTTTCTCTTTTGTTCCCCAGGTCGGGGTGCGATTGTACCATCTCGGCTCACCGCAACCTCTGCCTCCTGGGTTCAGGCAATTCTCCTGCCTCAGCCTCCTGAGTAGCTGGGATTACAGGCACGCGCCACCATGCCCGGCTAATTTTTTGTATTTTTAGTAGAGACGGGGTTTCACCATGTTGACCAGGATGGTCTCGATCTCTTGACCTCGTGATCCACCCGCCTTGGCCTCCCAAAGTGCTGGGATTGCAGGCTTGAGCCACCGCGCCCGGCCTCTGTCCCTTTTTTCTTATGAGACACAGTCTTGCTCAGTCACCCAGGCTGGAGTACAGTGGCACGATCTCAGCTCACTGCAACCACCACCTTCTGGGTTCAAGTGGCTCTCCTGGCCCAACCTCCTGAGTAGCTGGGATTACAGGCACCTGCCACCACGCCGGCTAATTTTTTGTTTCATTTTGTTTTGACACAGAGTCCTGCCCTGTCGCCCAGACCAGAACGCGGTGGCGTGATCTCGGCTCACTGTTACTTCCACCTTCCGGGATCAAGCAGTTCTCCTGCCTCAGCCTCCTGAGTCACTGGGACTACAGTCGCACACCACCAGGCCTAGCTAATTTTTTGATGTTTTGTTGAGACAGGGTCTTGCTATTCGCCCCAAGGTGGTCTTGAACTCCTGAGCTGAAGCATTCCTCTCGTCTCCGCCTCCCAAAGTGCTGGGATGACAGGCGTGAGCCGCCGCGCCCGGCCGCGGGGTGCGTTCTAATCATCCTTCGACTTGCTGAGCCTCCTGCCACAACCACCCAGAGGCCACGCGGCACAGTGGGGAACATCACAGCAAAACCGCACCACCTACAGCCCTACTGCTCACTATCAGCTCGTCAAGTTCAGAAGCAAGGCCACGGAGAGGAGAGAGGAAAAAGAAAAAGGAGACGACATTAGTTCAACTTGGCAAACGTTGAAAAGGATGACGAAATGGGCTATCCAGTTACTTGAAAGTTCCCATTCCTCTGCCTGGCAGTTGGTTCTGGTAAAGCGTCCAAGGCTGCGGTTGGAACTATCCTAGGAATGCAGGCCAGAAACGCTTTCACAGGGACCCACGCAACAAGGAAGCAAACATCAGAAGGGACAGAGCTGGGAACCGGGAAACTGCAAAAATGCGAAGGAGAAAGCCCAGTGAATCTGGAACACGGATGGGATTAGTCAGCACCCACAGAGGCCGCAGGGAAATGAAACCTGGTGATTTCTGAGAAGCCTGAATTTGCCCCCCCCATGCTAAGGGCTGGGTCTTGCACTTGACTGGGGGGGTCTAAGCTTTTCTTTGCAACAGCTTCTGTTGGAAACAGCTGCAAATCTGTGGAATCAAGGCAAAGCCAACGCAGACGCAGGATTCATCAGCAAACTCCTGGGCCAGGTCAGCCGAGCCTTCTTGGGCAAATGTCACCTCTGCCCTCCAGCCAAATGCTGACCACAATCAAAACCATCCTTTCCCTGAGCAGCATTTGAAAACAGAGCCTTGGGCTGAGCGCAGTGGCTCACGCCTGTAATCCCAGCACTTTGGGAGGCCAAGGCAGGCAGATCATGAGGCCAAGAGATTGAGACCATCCTGGCCAACATGGTGAAACCCCGTCTCTACTAAAAAAAAAAATACAAAAATTAGCTGGGTGTGGTGGTGTGCGCCTGTAGTCCCAGCTACTCGGGAGGCTGAGGCAGGAGAATTGCTTAAACTCAGGAGGCAGAGATTGCAGTGAGTCGAGATTGCGCCACTGCACTCCAGCCTGGTGCCTGGCGCGAGAGCAGGACTGTCTCAAAAAAGAAAAAAAAAAAAGAAAAGAAAACAGACCCTTGGCCAGGCACAGTGGCTCAATCCTGCAATCCAGCACTTTGGGAGGCCGAGGCAGGTGGATCACCTGATGTCAAGTGTTTGAGACCAGCCTGGCCAGCAAGGCCAAACCCCATCTCTACTAAAAATACAAAACTTAGCAGGGCATAGTGGCGGGCACCTGTAGTCCCAGCTACTTGGGAGGCTGAGGCAGGAGAATCCCTTGAACCAGGGAGGTGGAGGCTGCAGTTAGCCGAGATGGCGCCATTACATTCCAGCCTGGGTGACACAGTGAGACTCCGTCTCAAAAAAGAAAAAAAGAAAAAAGAGCCTTAAATGTGCC